TAACTGCCCTAAAAAATCATGCAAAAAACTGTGATTTCGACACACAAAGAGACAACATGATTCGTGACCGGATAATTTTCGGTGTGGCAGACTCTAGGCTCAAGGAAAGGCTATTGAGAGACTCTGACAATCCTAAACTCGGCAGGATCGTTGAGTTATGCAGGGCCGCCGAGGCGAGTGCCAGACAGCTCAGAGAAATAGATAACGTTGCTACCGCGAGCATTAATGCCGTATCGAGCAAGGGACAGAAATACCGTCAGCCCCAGGCTAAGTCCCAGACAGGGAAGTTTCAACACAAACCTAAGCCACAAACTGCATCAAAATTCAACTGCAGGAACTGTGGTAAGACACACGGCAAAAACGAATGTCGCGCGTACGGACAAGACTGTCATAACTGTAAAAAGAAAAATCACTTCGCTAATATGTGTCGTGGTGCTAGCAACCGGAAGCAATACGGGCCCGGTAAAATTCACGCGTTGGAAGAAGATTTGCCAGTACAGACTCTCTTCATCGGGTCAGTGCATGTTGAGGTAGGACAAGTACAATTAAATCACTAACGATGCATGGCGCACAGAACTTAAATTGGAATGCAGTAAGAAACCAATAAAATTCAAAATTGACACAGGTGCTGAAGCAAATGTGTTGCCCGAGAAACACTACGCGAAACTACACGTGAAACCGTGTCTCCGTAAGACACAACCCGTACTATCTGCGTATGGAGGGTTGAAACTTCAGCCACTGGGATGCATCTCTACCAAAATACGTGACACAGACGTTGAGCTGTATGCAATGAAAACTGACTCTGAACCAATACTAGGTCTCAAATCGTGTCAGGACTTGAAGCTCATTGCAAGGCTAGAAAGTGTCGTGGAGGAGAAACCCCTCACAAGAGATGACGTCATGAAAGAATATGAGGATGTGTTTAAAGGGCTCGGAAAATTTGAAGGAACATATAAGATTGAGCTAGACCCCAGCGTCAAACCAGTAGTTCACCCGCCTTCAACAGAAGCTGAAGAACACCCTGGACAGAATGGAGGCAGAAGGTGTCATAACCCCTGTGGAAGAGCTCACAGACTTGGGTAAACAGTCTCGTGATAGTGGAGAAAAAGAACGGTTCTCTACGACTCTGCCTAGATCCGCGTGATTTGAACACAGCCATAAGGCGAGAACATTACAAAATACCGACGCCGGAAGACGTTGCTGCACAATTACATGGCAAGAAATTCTTCACGATTCTGGACGAGAAAGATGGCTACTGGCAGGTACAACTCGACCATGAATCCTCACTCCTATGCACGTTCAATACGCCGTATTCTCGATACCGATTTCTGAGAATGCCTTTCGGTATCTGTTCAGCCAGTGAAGTATTCCAGAAGAGGAACCAACAAGTGTTCGGTGACGTGAAAGGTGTATGCATAATTGCCGACGACATGGTTATCGCCGCTGAAACCCCAGAGGAGCATGACAGGATCGTGAGGAGAGTGCTGGAAAGGGCAAGAAAACAGAATGTGAAATTCAACCCCACTAAAATGCAATTCAAGGTGGATACAGTCGAGTACATGGGAAATGTGATCATTCTGGAAGGACTCAAGCCGGATGAGCGGAAAGTGCGAGCCATAGCAGACATGCCGACTCTGACCAACAAGCAAGCTCTCCAAAGACTCTTAGGAATGGTCAACTTCCTCGCGAAGTTTATTCCGAACATGGCTGAAATCACGGCACCGCTCAGAGATCTGCTAAAGAAAGATAATGCATGGGTGTGGGATGCGACACATGAGAAAGCCCTTCAAGCCATCAAAGGCGAGTTGACCAGCGCACCCGTACTACACTACTATGATCAGAAAAAACGGTGAAAATTTAAGCCGATGCATCACAGAATGGGCTTGGTGCATGCCTGCTGCAAGACGGTCCAGTAGCCTATGTGTCTAGGTCACTGACAGCAGCAGAGTGTGACTACGCACAAATCGAAAAAGAGCTACTGGCAATAGTGTTTTCCTGTGAGAAATTTCACCAATACGTCTACGGGAGGCAGGTGGAAGTGCAATCCGATCACAAGCCGCTCACAGGAATTATCAAGAAGCCCCTCGCGAAAGTGTCACCGCGTTTGCAAAGAATGCTGTTGAGACTGCAGCGATATCAGTTCAGCATCACTTACGTACCCGGCAAATACATGTACATCGCCGACACGCTGTCACGAGCATACCTGGATAGGGATAATGCTGAGGACAGTAAACTCGATGAGGAAATGGACGTTCAAATTCACTCATTCGTGGAAAACCTATTCGTGAGTGAGCAGAAGCGTGAGCAACTCAAGCATGAAACCGCGAGAGACCCGGAACTTCGGGAACTCAGGTCCACAATTCATGCTGGATGGCCGGCAGAGAAGTCCCAAGCACTTCCCGCCACGCGACCATATTGGAATATACGTGACGAGGTGTACGAGGCAGAAGGCCTGCTATTCTATGGGGAAAGACTCATAATGCCTCGAGAAATGCGCAAGGAAATGCTCAACACTGTGCATGAGTGTCACCTCGGAATGGAGAAATGCAAGGCCAGGGCGCGTAACACCATCTACTGGCCTGGAATGTCATCAGCAATCGAAGACTTCATAGCAAGGTGCAAAACGTGCAGCCGTTTCAAGAAAAGACAGCAGAAGAAACCGCTGATTCCACATGATATACCAGACAGACCGTGGACAAAACTCGGTATGGACTTGTTTGAGTATGGGGCAAAAGACTATCTTGTTGTAGTAGACTACTACTCCAAGTTCCCTGAAATCAGCCTACTCGAGAGAAAAACTGCGACTGAGGTGATCACGCATCTCAAGTCCATCCTCGCGAGGCACGGGATACCGGAAACGATTGTATCTGACAATCAACCGTTTAGCTCCCGTGAGTTCAAAGACTTTGCTAGGAAATGGGACAGAACTATGTACCTCAAGCCCAACCTACCCCCAGTCAAACGGACTCAGTGAACGGGCTGTACAAACAGATAAGAACATCCTTAGAAAGTCAGCCGAGGAAGCGAGTGACCCATACATCGCGTTACTCGAATACCGAAATGCACCCATCGCTGGAATGAATTACTCTCCCGCTCAACTGCTGATGAGTAGGACACTTCGATCAAGATTACCAGCAAAAAGTACATCGCTGATGCCAAGAATTGCAAAGGATGCATGTGGGCAGCTCAAAATGAGACAGAATGAGCAGGCACGCCTATATAACAAGCATGCAAAACCGTTAAGAGAGCTACAGACTGGTGATACCGTCAGGATCAGGACCCAGAAAACTTGGGAACCAGCTGTAGTACAACAGGAACACGCGGCGCCAAGTTCCTACGTAGTACAAACACCCAACGGACGTTTCTACAGGAGAAACAGAAAACACTTACTGAGGACATGCGAACCGAAACCTGTGATAACTGGTCCGGAACTCGATGAAATCCCGACAGCAGGAAGTTCGCTGGAGCACCATGAGCTCCCAGCACATGCGGAACGTACTGAACCGGCACGGCAGAGCACTACCTACACTAGTCGCTCTGGGAGAATCATCAGGGAACCAAGTCGTTACAAAGACTACGTCAAATCGTGATTCTGTTCTGTGTGATTGAACTGGTGGTAAAGACCAGTTCCAACAGTGGGCTATGTGCTAGCAACCTCTAGCCCTGCTGCAGAGTTTGTCTGTTAGTGTTAAAAGTTGAATGATAATTGATGATTTCAAATCGCATTTTGATCCAATCCAGAATTTTATTGTTCTCAACAATTCAGTCTTGCAAACATAGTTCTACATGGTACAATTAGATGTTGGTAAAATATTGGGTACTTGATTATAATTGACAATTCCATATCTAATCGATAATTTACCAGTCAAATTTATTACTGAATAGTTTTGCTGCTCGAGTTCAATTGTTCTATTCCACTGTCTTAAAAAAAAGAAAAAAAAGGAAAAAGAAAAAGGGAGATGTCATATATGCACTATACGTCATAAGTACCCGGATAACTCTAATGTAATATCAACCAATCAGAGGCGAATAAATTCTGTTGTGCTTTCCTAATGGCGCTCTTCAGCTATTAAATATTACAACCACTACATTTGATGAAAATTTAAGGTATTTCCAACATAAAATATTAAAAATAATTTTACCTACAAATAAACTCCTTACAACAATTGGCATCAAGGACAATAACTCTTGTACCTTTTGTAAATTTAGTATTGAAACATTGCTTCATCTATTTGTAGAATGTGAATATACTGCTTTAATATGGACCGATCTGCTCCAGTGGTTGATATCTTGCGGATATACACACTTGAAACCTTTGGAGGCGCAAGATATTATTCTGGGCTCTCCAAAAGAAGATATAATCTTTAATTTCATAATAACCATTACAAAATATGTTATATATCGCTCAAAGTTAAGCGAAAAAATCCCAACCTTGGCTGCAGTGGAGGCATATTTAAAATACATCATGGAAATTGAAAAATACATAGCAGCAACAAATAACAAACTCGACAGATTTTATGGAAAATGGGCATCAGTAATGCACAAACTTTAAATTGCTTATATTTGTAACAGTTTGTAGGTATTTAACATATACAAAAAGGCGGTGATTATTTGCACGTTTTACACTAAAAAAAAGAAAAGAAAAATAGATTGTACATCGCAGTGCCTATATTGCCTATTTCTGTTGTTGCATGTTGCAGTAGATATCCCCCGGCAAAATTATGGCAAAAATTACTTTGTATAGCTCTCGTCAAATACTAATCATTGTTCATATGTACCAATGTATGCCTATTGTTTGATATTATTGCTTTGGTGGATCTAGAAATAAAAAACATTATAAAAAAAACTGTATGACACAATTGTTAGTGTGCCATGTGAATTTTCATTATTTCATTCTGCATACAAGATTTTTTATCGTTGTATAAACACATGATATAGCCAAGCATGTCTTCTTATGATGCCACAAAGGTTATTGTTGTTATTATTTGTATTTCATTCAGGTGGAGCAACTTTGAGAACGGTTTCTCAGGCTGTGAGTAAGGTCAGTAAGTTACCTGGAGCTTGTTTATCTCTGGTAACAAAGACGCCGACATCACCTATTATAACTATAGTCTCAAGACCATCAGTAACTACTTCAGCATCCCCAGTTAGTAGTTCTGTCGCCAAGCTGGTTACAGGTGAGTTGCTAAACATTTTTCTCTAGAATAAAACATTAAGTATGAAAGCGTTGAGAATTATATGCAAGCTGTTTTTTACGTGTTTATTCATGTTTACCACAGAGGCCTCTCTCTCTTCTCTCTCTCTCTCTTCTCTCTCTCTCTCTCTCTCTCTCTCGTCTCTCTCTGTCTTTATATAATTATTATACTAGCGGGATACCCGGCGTGCCCGGGGAAATCAGTGGCGTTTACTCAGTTGGTGACCGCTTGGTTGAAGGGAAAATACCCAAACAAATCTAACTATCTATCTATCTATCCATGCATCCATCCATGCATCCATCCATCCCATTCCATGCCATCCCTTCCCATCCCATTGCACCGCATCCCGTCCCATCCCATCCCATCCCATCACATATTCCATCCCATCCCATCCCATCTCATGCCATCCCATGACATGCCATGCCATGCCATGCCATGCCATCCCATCGCACCGCATCCCATGGCACAGCATTCCATCCCATCCCATCCCCATCCCCATTCTATTCCATGCCATGCCATCCCATCCCATGCCATCCCATGCCATCCCATGCCATGCCATCCCATGCCATCCCAAACAGTAAAAAATAATAAGAAATCAAAAGATAAAAGACATTAAATATAAAAAATAAATAGTAAAAAGTAAAAAATTAAAAATAATACATACTAGAGGAAGGTAAAGGGAAAAAAAGAAAAAAGGGGAAAATAAGTTACCCAGCTGAGACTCGAACCCGGAATCCCGGTGTAGGAAACGGATTTTCTAGCGATTAAGCCACTCCGCCGTTAAGGGTATACCCATGGATTCACACGTACGTGATGTTAATCTGTACGCACCGCCATCTATTGATGAATAGAATTTTTATGAATTTTTAACTTTTTAACCTTTTAAACTTTTTCCACCTCTCAGACGTGCTGATTCTGAAAATATCTTTAGTTTTCCTCTAGGCTGCGGAGTTCTCTAGTTATGCGAGTACGAACTAATTCGGCTGAACAACTTTATATATATACTAGCGGGATACCCGGCGTTGCCCGGGGAAATCAGTGGCGTTACTCAGTAGGTGACCGCTTGGTTGAAAGGAAAATACCCCAAAAAATCTAACTATCATTCTATTCATGCATCCATCCATGCACATCCGCCATACATCCATCCATCCCATTCCATGCCATCCCATCCCATCACACCGCATCCCATCCCATCTCATCCCATATCCTATCCCATCCCATCTCATCTCATCGCATCCCATGCCATCCCATGCCATCCCATGACATCCCATCCCATGCCATCGCATGCCATGCCATCCCATCCCATCCCATCCTATCCCAAACAGTAAAAAATAATAAGAAATCAAAAGATAAAAGACATTAAAAATAAAAATAATTAATAAATTAAAAATATTAATGAATTAAATCAAGTAATAAGTTAAAAATTAATTGAACATTTAAAATAATACATACTAAAGAGGTAGGTAAAAGGAAAAACGGAAAAAAGGGGAAAATAAGTTCTCCACCTGGGACTCCAACCCGGAATCCACGTGTAGCAGACGGATGTTCTAGTGATGAGACCACTGCGCGATTACGGTTATACAACATATAATGCGTATAAACATATTATTATATAATAATATATATATATATCGATATTATAATATCGATTGTATTATATACAACATATAATACAACATATAAGAGCCCACTGATCTCTATAATATAATCATATATTATATTATATTATAGAGATCAGTGATTCAGCCGTACGTGATGTTGTATGTACGTACGTGACCGCCATCTATTGATCAATAGAATTTTTTATAAATGTTTAACTTTCTAACTTTTTTAAATTTTTGTTTCAGCCAGAACCACCTCACAGACGTGCTGATTCTGAAAATATCTTTAGTTTTCCTCTAGGCTGCGGAGTTCTCTAGTTATGCGAGTACGGACTAATTCTGCCCGCCTGAACAACTTCTTTATATATACTTAGCAGACTAATACCCGTACAACGACCAAATCGTGCCTTAAAATATAAACTTCATGTAAGTGACACAGTTGGAGTAAAATATTTTTATTGCAACTGAAAGAAAACAGAAACAAAAGAAAAAAAAACAAAAAAAAAAAAAAAAGAAAAAAAAAAAAAAAAAAAAAAAAAAAAAAAAAAATACAAAAAAACATTTTGGAGAACAACAGAGAGCAATTCTATACAGTATGCAGGGCATTGGAAAAAGTGCCCTCAGTTTGACGCCTGACCACTTGGTTGAAAGTCAAAATACCGCAAATCTATCTATCTATATCTATCTATCTATCTATCTATCTAATCTATCTCTAGTCTATCTATCCTATCTATCTATCGCTTATCTTATCTATCTATCTATACTATCTATCTATGATATGTTATCTATCCATGCATGCATCCATCTATGCATCTATTCATCCATCCATTCAGGCAGCCATCTCTCCATCCATCCATCCATTCAGCGCAGCCATCCTCCATCACTCCATCCATCGCATGTCATGCATGCCATCTGCCATGTCATGCCACCCATGTAATCCCATCCCATCCATTCCATCTCATCCTATGCCATCTCATTGGATCCGATCCGATCCCATCGCAGTCGACCCATCCATCCATCAAATCCCAAACAATAAAAAATCAATAGAAATAATATCAAGAACATGAAAATAATAATAATAGTAAAAAAATATATTTTTTTCAATTTTTAACTTTTTTTTTAATGAATGTAGTAACATTTATTTTTTACATTTTTGAAATTAACGCTGAAGTGTGCAGAAGTAGATACTAAAAAGTAAAAAGTAAAGGAGAACATTTTTTTCCCCAGCTGAGATTCTCGAACCTGGAATCTCGGGTTATAAAACCGCATCTCCTACCGACTACGCTACGGCGGCGGACAAGACAATCCCGAATGAATTCCCACGTACGTGATTATTAAATTTTGACTTTTACAATTTTTTTTTACTTTTAAACTTTTTTTAATTTTGTCTCAGCCAGAACGGACTCATTTTATTTCGCCACAGACCGTAAGGTTGGAAGTGATTTGGCTGCCGATTACTATGTTTATCGTGTGCAGCTTACGCGATTTGTAGTGACAAATCACTGGAGAAAAGCTAGGCCGGTCGAGACGTACATGCAATATAAGACACAGACTTACACAATTACTTTTACACTTATCATTATAGATATTTGAGGCTGTATTTCCCAGATTGAATCATTTATTCCGTGATGCTAGTATAGTATATCGCGAGCGTTTTTATAGCACAGTACCCGGTGGGTTTAGTGTATAATATAAATGTGATGTATTTCAGACAACTTAAAGTAAAGTACATATAAGGCGGAGTATTTTAAGTGAAGCAGACGTATTTGTGGGCCGCTCAAAGCGCTTTGATTTCACTACATTGTATGGTCCGGTGGGCGAGTTCGATGTGAATAAAATGCAAATTTTGATGATACAAACATAGGAGCCTTCGTTTTTAGTCTTGCTAGCTTGGTCTATATATTCACTGTATCATTTTCGAGGTAGTCCTTATGTTCTTTTGGATATAAAAGATTTTTCGTACTTTTGCGTCTAGACATCGGATACAGTAGTTTTACGGTTTATATTTTTACACTAAGTACTTTTTTTGTTGGTCGGAATTTGGCTAATTAGACTCTTTCCAGGGCCGTTTGTGCTAAACTTTCCTTGATGGGAGCGCCACATACTCTAGTGGCATTTATAAATCGGAAAGCGCAGGCGCTGACACCGAAGATGGATCGCGTCTCCCGTACGTTATCTCGCCGATGAAACTTTTCTCGTATTGCTTTAACGCGCGCGCTCTCTCTCCACAAGGGAAGTCCGCTACAGTCCGGGACAGTGTTTTCATTATGATATAATATGAACAAAATAGGTTCGTATTTAAAGCACTTAGCAGTAATCCTTCTCAGACAATGAACATCTCTCTTGTAACGGGTCAAGGATGATTCGGACTTTTCAGCAGGTCACATGCAAACGGTGATACTGATATTTTGTACTATTCAAGTACCGATTCAACTCGCTCATATGCCTACTAGAACGGGATAGTGGTGCAATATTTACAGTTTGTTTAATTAATAATTCACGTGAGTTTGATTCTAACAACAGAATTTTTTAATGCGATCAGAGGGGTCTGTGGCAACACGATAAAGCTAGATTAGGTCCTCAATACGCTTTTTGTCTCATAAGTGTTATATGATGCTCTAATGAACAAGGAGTGATTGACAGTCCTAACTATGTAACCTTATTCAGGCATTACGCGCCGAGACGCGAAAAAGTTTGTTGTTCGGCTAACAAAGCCGAGTGAGACGACGTTAACTCTGCGCCTTTATCACAGTTACAGGATGGCTTCAATTATTTACCTAATGTGTTAATCATCGTGTGCGAAATTAATGGGCTGCAATTCGCATGTTCAGATTTAATTCTCGCGCCTAATCTCCGCCTCATGCCATACACCCGTGTATGCGAAAAGCTCACTAGAAATCTCAGTCTCCGGAGCAAGTGTATTTATTTTTACTCCGCTTATATGATTGAATATCCTCGACATCATTCCTCCGTCGTGGGTGGGATCTACGTAAGTGGTCAGCATATTAAGGTGTTATCCAGTATCTTCAGCTCGATCGGCCGCGTTTATTTTAAAAAGTGATGATGATGGCTGAATATGTAACCTATACAGAACCAACCGGTGGTATAAGTGCGATTAAGACAAAGAAGGTGTCCAACTGAATCGATGATATTGAAGATAGCCAAATATGGGAGCACTGGGCCGCGCATAGAAGAGAAGTGCGGCTGGCGCAGAGGCGAAAAGAAAAGATAACATGGTGAATCCGTGCGCCATAATGAAAGCCAGCGCCAACGGATCCAAATAAAATACTAGATGACCGAAAGTGTTCCTCCTGAAGGGTGGCATGTACGGAACCGCCCGCAGTATATTTAGTCTATTTTACGCAGCTGTCCCTTATTTCCCAGTCCGCTGCGCCCTGATGAACAGTACTAGGTAGAGTCGACTAAGCATTTGCACTCGTTAACGAAGCCTGCCAAAGGCCGTGTCCACACAGGACCATGGCGGGTGCCCGTGCATGGTTAAATCGTCAGTGATAACACTGATATACAGCATTGGCTCCCCCCTCACATCGGCAGTTAGGTGATGTCCTTTTGTTTGAACCCTGCCAGGTGTTGTCCTGGGACATCGACAGTTCGCTGCATGTATGTCGAGCTTGTGACAAGGCATCGGGAGGGTGTATTTTTTTCCTAGGTCAATCAAGAACATAGGGCTCTAGCGAGCGCTGCCATTGGTTGATACAAATCACGCCTGCCTCAAACTCCTGTTTATTAGTGCATTCACTGCATTGTGACCCTAACCCTAACCCTAACCCTAACCTAATCCTAACCCTAAACCCTAACCCTAACCCTAACCCTAACCCAAATCCCTATTTAAAAAATATATATAAAAATTTAATTTTTAATTGTTGTAAAAATTAATTGTTGTTACAAAATGTTGTAAATAAATCATGTAAATATTTGCGTTAATTGGGAAAAAAATGTTAAACGAATAAAGATAGGAAAATACAGAAAACAGGAAAATAATTAGAAAACGGGCGGGATTCGATCCACCCAACTTTCATACTTGACGCTAGCGATGTAGTCGCTAACCTATTGAGACATATCTAAAGAAGTAATTTTGAATGTGCTATGTATATTACAATACTGTGACGTCATTGAGCGACGAAATAAGCCCAACCAATAGCAGCGCTCACTACAGCCCTATGTTCTTGATTGACCTAGGAAAAAAAATCACGCCATCGGCAGCAGTACGTGCACTGACGTAAACATAGACTGGAACGCTGCAGTTTGCTGCATGTCTATCGAGCTTGTGACAAGGGCTTGGAAACATTCTAGGCCTATTTTCACATATGACATGGATTCTTCCGCTCACTCAAGATAGATGAAATAGTTCTATTTGTATTTTCATTTTCACAATAAGTGCACGAAATTTAACGAACTACAGCTTGTAATGTTCTATTTACATACCATATCGGATAAACACAAAAGTTTGCTTCGAACTGTTCGATTACCAAACTTAACCACTTTTCGAACGATCCACATAACCTGTAGAATTTGGGTAATGCTATCCCCCGGGCGTGGAGGGAGGTGACCGCAACGTAGCAGTACTAGTGTTGGGATAGTGTTAGGATTATGGTTAGGGTCAGGGTTAGGGTTAGGATTAGGGTTAGGGTTAGGGTTAGGATTAGGGTTAGGGTTAGGGTTAGGGTTAGGATTAGGGTTAGGGTTAGGGTTTTTGCATCATGATATCTGTGCACAAAGATATCTGTATTTTTGTGGATCACAATGCCTATATATAGCGCGGCGACACATATATATTTAGTTTGAGGGTTAGTGTTGGCGGTGTTGAAGTGAGGGTTATCGTTAGGGTTAGCGTTTTGAACGTCATCGTCAACGTTATCACGTGACCTCCCTCCACGCCCGGGGGATAGCAACACCCGTAGAATTTGTATTGAGCAGTCATCGCCGTCGGTGTAAGTAGTCCGCTTCGCGGACGGGTATCGTTTCACTCACAAAAAGGTGCGAACGTCAAGGCATTCTAACTATAGTTTCAATGTAAAATAGTTTTAATTTTTAAACCCAGCATGGGTGCAACGTAACTTAATTTCTAAGCGCATTTTCTGCACTTGGCTAGACTACGGCCTAAAAGCCCTGCCGCTCCTCCTTCCAGTTGCTGTGTATGCGAATTTGCCGCTTGGCTACGCCACACGACGGTAAATAACGTGGAAACCATGTCGTGCAAAAGTACGATTTATGTCAAAACGAAGGAAGCTACGCGGTTTGTAATACTACCGGAAGATAGAATAAGGACCAGTGAACAAAAGAAGCTCATGTTTGTATACATTTGTATTTTTATTCACATCGAACTCGTACGACAAAATGAGTGAAATTAGTACCAAATACACGTGTCAAACTCCTTTGTCTTTATTAACTCGATCCTGATCATATTACATATATGATATATATATGTAATTGTGTATGCAATTGTGCATGCAATAATGATCTTTAATCTTTTTGTAGCGACAACACCTGTGGCAACTTTACCTCCAAGCAAGTCATCAAGTATGATAGCTAGCTTGGTAACGAGGGCTCTGAAGCGGAAACGAGAGGAAGACGAGGACTATAATAATCCATAATCTGCACTGTCTGTGTTGCTCATAAGCCTTGTATTTATATGTTATTATTATCTAGTGTGTTGCAAATCTTTTGCGTTTCCATTCTCTGCGTTGTATTTTTGTTATCTTCTCTTCCACTGTCTCGTCTTTTAATGTCATTGGGTGGGTCGTCATCTACTGCATTTTCTTGTGCGCTACCATCTGGTCTATGTTGTCTTCTATTGTATTGCCATGTATTTTTGCATAAAATTTAATTTAATCATTAGCTTTCTCAGACTACCGTGCTCGTCTTACGGTAGTTTATTGAGTTACCTTGATCATAAAAAAATATTGATATTGTAGATGTATTAGTTCACATAGTTTATCACAACCGATCTAACATGCCTAATCGTGAATAAATATAGGAGTTCTTGCAGTTAAATTAATTCTTTTTAGTACTGCTTTCATTGCTGTCATCATTAAAATGATCAATATTATCTCCATACATCGCAAACCCATGTGATATCTGGAAACCTCAAAAAATGTTTAAAAAAAACATCTTGCTATAAGTAACATATTTTACAAGAATATTCATGTTGAGCCAATCTAAGGAATCTGATTTAAACAAGGTACATGCATACGGTAAATGTATTGTTACCTTTTATTGTGTTGTACTCGAATAAGGCAGGTTCGTGCAGGTTACGTATTGCCCAACACCTTATTGCTAGATATTTGATTAGGCTGAGGTGCATTGTATGTATTGTACTTGCAAAGTGCAACGTTTGTAGTTCGGAGATGGGTTGAAGTTAAATTGAGCTGTTTACAAAGACTTCAGTTGCTACAGAGAGTTGTAGAAGGAGAAGGAGAGGCGGTCAACGATAAACGCCAACCAACTGTTTCATAACTATCTGACCTCAGATCAAAGCCTAAAACACTCAAACCCGGTAATGATAATGATAACGAAGGTGGGCCAGCGTTCATGCTATTTGTTAGCACAACGTTGTGCGTGTGACGACGAGTTATGTTTACTCGAATTCATAATTGGCATTCTGGTATTTCTTTTAGCGTAATCACTTCCCATAAAAACACGGCTCCAATTATATAATAGAATATAACTGAGTAAACGTGATTAACGGTTTTCAGGAACGCAGTTCTTACGTAAAGAACGGTAGTACTGTACTTGCTTTGAAAATTGTGCTTGTTATAATTCTTTTCGCATTTTTATGAAAACAAATTCCATAAGAATGCATCTCTAACTAGAGCACTCGGCGAGCACAGACCTTCGCCAAGACAGCTGAATTCTCTCAATGTGGAATTTTTATTTAATTAATTAATTAATTAATTAAGTGGAAAAATTAATTAATTAATTAAATAATTAATTGGATCCGGTGACAGAGATGCGTCGAATCGAACAAAACATTTAACTCCTGCACCTAATAATAATATTTAATAAACAAAATAATGATGATAAATATAATACAGGGGACGCGACAGAAACAAAAGATATGTCGTGGTTATGTCGTGGGTGTGTCGCAAGTCAGTCGTGCGACAGTCGTGAGTAACTGTTGTCGGACATTGTCGGGTGGCAGTTTTTCACGTGATCAGGTCGTGGTTCACTCGTGGGATGCGCGTGCTACAGTCGTGCGACTGTCGCACAACAGTCGTGAGTCACTCGGGTCACTCGTGGGACGCTCGCGCGTCCGTCTCCCGACTATATAACGACGTATTATCGCACGACAATCGGAAGACAGTCGTAGGACAGACTCACGACAACCACAAGACATAGATACCACAAAAAATCGTGGAACAAAAAAGGTGCATGTTCAATTTTGCTTCACGACGGCAAGTCGATGCCACGATGCTCAAAATTTCGTAGGACTGTCTTGCGACGACCCCCGATGACCCACCATTTGCCAAAATTTTCTGTCGTGTCGTGGCACAAATGAGTCGTGGGATCGTTGTGACCGAAGCTTGACAACGTGACATCGTTTCTAGACTATTTTTTTGCTGCTTGCCAAGAACTGGGTAGACTTTCGCACGCGTTACCAGCTCGGATTGCGAATAAAGCTGAACACGTAGCAAGTATAGACGATATATATATAGCAGCGGCAACATAAAATAGTAGAAAACATGCACTTTGTGGTGGCGGGTGAAAATTTATTCAAAGAATTTTTATTTTCGTCTTGCTAGCCATTTTATAAATCGATATGGCCGTTTTTTGTGATCATACTACTACCACCTCTGTGATTACCTGACAGTGTTAATGAAGTATCGTATCCTTCGCATATCACAGTGAATCCGTCTGTAATCATTATTTTCCGTCTGCGACCATGGACTTCGATTTCATTTCTGTAAATGGAATTGTTTTCGAATGAAACAGTAAATATGAGGACTATTAAGCAACATTGAACCGTTGTAGTCGCCGTTGTAATCTGTGAGTATTATACAGATGATGCTAATTATAAACTGAATTATTTCAGCTATAATGCCGCAAACAGGTTTTGCATGAATGCATGCAGTCAATTTGCATAATAGGGTGGAGACTGATCAATCGTGTAACATAGTCGACTTGTGCCACTGCTGCCTAGAAACTAGTTGTCCGATCATCGTATGGCAACCCGGGACAGAGAAAGATAATGACCGCAAGAATCGTTGCCCTCTGCCGCCTCCGTTGCATTTAAATTTGCACTGTGTGGTTTCACAGCGCTTCCCGCGAGGGCCCGCTGTATCTCGTTATTCCTCCCCATCTCTCTCGCATTCCCCCTTCTGCTCTATCTCTGCCTTGCCAAAAATCTTACTTCATCACTTTGTCGTATTTTCTATGGAAACGCATACAAAATCTTTTCTTGTTTTTTTTTGTGAGTGGTTCCCTAGAAGCGGAGAAAAAACGTGAAAAAGTAAAAGAAAATGTTGTCGGCGGCGTCTCTCTCTCTCTGCGGCTGGTCACATAAGCTTGTTTAGTTTCGCGCCCCGTATATAGCTATATGCCTTACTCTATTAGTTTAATCAGACTTGAAGCCGCGAAAACGGCGAGTCGTTGCCGCATGTGTCTTGAGGCGGTCACTCGAATGCGTCAAGATCAGTGAGCGTTCGACAAAGGTCGTCAGGAAAATAATAGCGGGCTGCGAAATTGCTAATTAGAGACGGAGGTGAAAAAGTGTGATAGGAATAGGAGATGCAAATTAGAGATAGTAATAGTGTACACAGAAACAGAATTCCTTCAAAAACGCAGGTTATCTGTTTCAATTCATGTCGCTTCTTTTATCCTTATCGCAGATTGATGAATATAATTCATGAATATAATAAAGTCTTATTGAAGAACTTCTGTTTCTAAAACAATTAAAACGCTGTCTTGGAGTATTGATTAACGGGTTAGTAAATCGCAACAAACCATAACATGAATGGTAATTGCTGATCCATGACGACAAGCTGACGATAACAAACAGGGAACATTGTTGAAAGTTTGTAGATTCATCCGTTTACGGAAATCTTGGAATGTACCCTTTCTGAGCGAATTTTTGTATGCGAGACAGCAGTTGATTTCTCCAATTGAGAGAAAATGTGTTGGGAAAAAAACATCACAACAAGTTAATTAATAGAATAAAAACATCCGCGCTTCGAGAATAAATTCTTGTCATTTTGACACAAATAGAATTTCTATAAATATTCAGATTTGCTAAAATGTGTTATCTGCCATCACTATACAGGAACAACTATAAATAGTAACTCTGAAAATTGACACATTTAGTAATTAACGTTGCCGTACGGAGTTACAGAAGAACATATATATATATATATACATATATATATATAGCCTGACTCGTTATAATGTGTAGTTTAATGGCGTTGATAAGTGACATTTTGGCATGCTCGAACATGATTTTGGAGACGTAACAAGTTCAAAAGCTCAGGAAAAGCTGGTGACTGTCGCTTCCCTCTATGGAGATGATTTCCTTCTATGGAGATTCATTATGCAAGACTTCCTCGCTTCTCCTTCAACTAAGCTTCACGCTGTTTCGATTTGTTTCTCAGCATGGAGATCTAATAAATTGGAGTGACAGCCACTGGCTCAAAACACTTAACCCGCATTTTCCTTGAGTGTGGTTGAAGCATATAGTATTAGTACTCTGATTCTTAGTAAATCTATGTGTGATGCTAGATAAAATTAGATATCATTCCCGTTTACATGAATTCCAAAACTAACTTCATCTTGCATCTCGCTGTGCTTGCATAAGTTTTCCAGTCAGAGACCGGTATAGTAGAGTTTTCTTGCATTTTGGCTAGGTTGCAGGCGGCGTGAAGATGAAATGGGCTACGTTTCATGCAGCTAGGATATAAATGCCGGGATGCAGTACCTACTGGGTCTATACGTATCTAGGTACATTATCGTGACTTCGATCGATCATTATCGATGACAAGATAGGTAGAGAGATAGAGGCAGCGGAATAGTGAGTGAGTGAGAGAGAGCGTGCGCACGCATGATATATGAGTCTATAAGAGAGATTGGGATGGTAGAACATGCCTATTTGAAATTTGAAGCGGCTCTGCATTCAAACTCCATTACTGCGACACATTTAGATATCTTAATATGTATAGCACTGATAAGAAACGCAATTTTTTGTTTCGTCTTCTATTATTGACGAATGCAATGTTACCAATTAATACAGAACATGTAATGTTCATTATGATTTAATGGAAAGATTGCAAAGATCGCAGCGGGTTTTTTACGTCCTATACACGCCCTTCCTTCGCTCGAATTGCAGACCTGAGAATGCGTTTATGATCAGCTTTCTAAATTTTCGTAGCCATGCTTGTGTTTTGTAGCTGCGCGTGTGCATGATATGTGCCACGATCAATAGAATCATAACACACACGCACGAACAGTATATATATAGACACCGACTATATTGTCAGCATGTTGCTGATTGCAGCTTCATCGTAAATGCTGTCGGGTCCAGTTTTCTCTCTGTGACGCACTATTACCTACTATACAAGGCATGGCCGACTCTAATCTTGCCACCTGGTGGCGTGATGTTGTAACTCTTCCCAGTAAATGCATTTGCTCTATTGTCCTCTAACAAGTTCCGTTGTCTCTAAATAGATTTCCAGCGGCTCGTGTCAGCTCCTCGTGAACTAGATGTTATCCATCCCTTATGCCTTTTGCGGAATTCTGTCTTGGTTCATCACAACGACAGCCATCGTCTAACTCTTTTATGGTGTGATTGTTTTGTTGGGTTCATTCTACAGATAACCTGCGGCTTTTTTGTATAGACGCAGCTGCATAGCTAAGCAACATCATTAATGCGTTGTCGTTGTGTAATATAATTTGCCCATTACAACATGATTGGAAGTATTATATAGATTATTCCATTTTAAAAAAGGTAAAAAATTGTTCCACATTTACTAGTAGTTGTATATAAAGATTCCTGAAGTTACACTAGT